CCTCTGAGCCACAACCCAGCCCCCTTTTGGATTATTGACAGAAATTTAACTTCATTTGTATCCAGAGGCTGGTGGGACCGTGAGACATCTGGAGTACTTGATATCAACATGGTTTTCATGGCCCTTTATTTTAAACTAAAGAAAGGGAATTGGATCATAATATAGAACACCTTTCCTTGTTTTACATGATGAGGAAATGGAATACTGTAAGTCAGTCTGTTTTCTAGATAACCAAAACGGTCTTTTAGATTTGGAATGTTGTAATCTTTCTAATGGAGGAGTGAGGTAAGAGGGGAATGAATTAAAAATGGTGTCTGTTCCTTAGGTTTTTTTATTTAATTTTTTAATTTTTATGGAGGGTCTACCAAAATACACTGTGTGCTGTTTCACTAACTTCATTAGTAAAGGGGAAACATGATTTTGATCATTCCTGGTGGGTCTCCAGGGACCTGAGGCCAGCCTGGCAGCCCCACTGGATGGTCCTGGATTACCACCTGGAGCCACGCCCTGGCTTTGGCCCTTTTACTCTCTTCCATGGTTGTGAATACATTCTTCTTACTTCTCTTAGGGAGGTGGTTCCTTGGCATCTACATTACCCTCATCACACTTTTAATTGGACATTTTATCTGCTTTGGATTTAGTAATCATGTGACTCTTGTGAAAATCCTAATTAAAAAAAAAGTATAACAAGCAAACAAAAAAATCCAGGGGTTTAGCTTTTTAATTTATTTTTTGGGGGGCGTGGTGCTGGGGATTGAACCCAAGGCTTTGTGCATGTAAGGCAAGCACTCTACCAACTGAGCTATATCCCCAGCCAGAGTTTTAACTTTTGGCAGAGAGTTGGTAGGGTTTGCCTAGGAGTGAAGTGCAAATTTTTAAGTTTTTTTTTTTTTTTAATCTACCTGGAAGTATTTAAACTCAAGTTTTGGCTGGGCGTAGTGGTACACAACTATAATCCCAGCAACTCAGGAGTCTGAGGCAGGAGGTTTGAAAGTTTGAGGTCAGCCTTAACAACTTAGCAAGACCCTATCTCAAAATAAAAAATAAAAAAGGATCAGGGATGTAGCCCAGGGTAAAGTGCCCCTGGGTTCAATCCCCAGTACAAACAACATCAATACCAGCAACAAAACTTAACTTTTGGTCTTGGCTGTACCTCAGATAGAAGCTACTGGATGGGGGACTTCAGAGACACAGTTTTTGGTATACATATAATTGGGATGCTATGAAGAGGGGAAGAGATGGTTGGATCTATACACATCACTCCCATCAACATTAGCCTATTCATTTTACAGAAATTGTAGTTAATATTCTGAATTAATTAGATTGTATAATCAGTTTCAAAAGCATAATGAGGTGGTGTATAAAATTTAATAATGCATAAAACTTGTTATGGAAATTTAAAGTTTTAGGGCCTAGATGGAATTCAAACATGAATTTTGTATGAAGAAATGAAACAAAATAGTTTTGTTAGAATAATTTGCTTTATTACAAAGGAAAATGTCTACAGCATCATTTAAATACTGTATCATTCATCACATGCAATACTTCCCAGCAAGCTAATTTGAGGAGGACTCCAGGCTCAATAAATACCCAAAGGGTATATCACCGCCACCCCCCTCCGCCTGCCTTCCTTTGGAAGATCAGCAGCAAAACCAGATTTCCTAAAATAAACATTATCATATTCAGAGAAGACTGGAAATCATGAATGATGTGAGCAACTTCCCTAGGCTATGACAGGAAGCCTGCATATGTAATCTTTGTTGCGAATAAACATCTTCAATTTCTAGTATTATATCATCCAATTCCAGGAAAACATTATCATAATATGAAATAGATGAGAAAGTAAATAGCAATCAGAACTCTCTGGCAATGACAAGGACTGGACTTTCCCTCTCCTACGCTGGGGCAGCTGCCTGCGGGAGGCGAGCTAATGCAAGTGGTACTGCATTGAGATTTCAGTCCTAGCGACTCAGGCAAGTTACCGATTCTCTGAACTTCAGTCCCTCAGACCACCATGCACTGAAATGATCCTTCTGGCCCAAGGATGGCTAAAAGTGAAGTGAAAGTGTTACATTTACCACCTCCTCCCGCTATATTCCCTCTACTAACACCTGCTGGTCCTTCTTCTAGCCATGACGCTTTTCTTGTGCATTTTCTTTGTGAGGGGACCGTCAGCCACCCGATCAGAAAGCTAGTGGTGGTCCAAGGGTTCTGTTTACTAGCTCTCATCTACTCCTCACCTGCACTGGTGTAAGTTAGGAGTCAAAGGCACCTGCTCTGAGCTCCCCTGACAGGATGTACTTCGTTCATAGGATGTACTTCATCCATCCTGGTGACTACCAATAGACTACAATGGTCTTGGGGAGAGGTCTTGTAGTTTTATATCTCTGGAAAGAGAAGAACAAAAGCCCATAACTAGCCCGCTGCTACTTTTGGTTGGTGCTGCTGGTCCCTCTCCCACAAGCACTGCAATCCCATTTGTCAGAATAGGCAGAGTTCCCCCTTTTGTGTGTTCAACTCTGTCAAAGGGGAATCAGAGTTCCCCTGTCCTCCTGGAAGTGTCAAAGGAGACCTTGTGGACAGGCTGAAATCTATCAGGTGTGCCTCAGTACAGGAACCATCTAGCACGTCCTGACGAAGTACCACAAAACAGAGGTGCCTGTTTTGTCTTGTCACAACACTGAAGGTGCTACCTATTTTTAATATCATCCCTGCAACTAGAGCTACTTCTCCATAGGACTCCACAGATGAAGGCTTATGGGGCTCTGAGCTGGTAGTTTAGCCTCAGGACAGACATGAAGCTCGAATCCTAGTCACCTATTTTTTTAAGAGACCAAAATGGACTCGGAGGCATGGTCAAGTTGGCAGCACCAGGATCACCTGGAGCAGTTTTTCTCCCAGTACATTCCTCTGGTCTTCAAGAGCACACACTTTCCATTTCTTTCCCTGCCAGATATGTCCAGACATGGCTGGACACTAGTGGTACACACAGTTCAGGCTCAATCTGGACACACTGATTTGATTATAATGATAGGGGATGGGTACCACGGTTAGTTTGTAGTTTTGGTGAAGTAATAACAGTAGGTATAATTTCTTTTGTATTATAAACTCCTGTGCTTGTGATTTTACTGATCTCTCTTCATAATGGGCAATTTTTATTTTATATTTTTCTAGGTAGGTTGTTAGTTTCATATAATTCATAATTGTTAGAGTTTCTTGATGCTTCAGTTTTTTGTTACAATGCATTTTTATTCCTTTCTGCCTTTAATTGTTTCTTTTCTGACAATAATATTACTGAACTAGCTTTCTTTTAAAAAAATTTATATATATATATATATATATATATATATATACACTTTTAGTTGTAGGTGGACACAATACCTTTATTTTATTTATTTATATGTGGTGGTGAGGATCAAACCCAGGGCCTCACACATGCTAGACAAGCGCTCTACCACAGACCACAACCCCAGCGCCTGAAATAGCTTTCTTATAAAGGAAATCACTGATGTTTTCTTCTAGAAGTTTTACTTTTATTTTTCATTTTTAAACCACTGGGAACTAATCCTGATCTAGATTTTAGGTACGAAACCAATTTTAAAATTGGATAAATTGCTTTAATATGAATTGAATATAATTTACTATTTATTAGTATTTAATTTTAATAAAATATTTACTATGTGATATTAACATTTACACACATTACTTTGAAATATATATTGTTATCCCTGCATACATACATATGTTTTGAACTCTCTCTCATTTGCTGTTTCCTAGTTCTGTGGTCACCTCCATTCTACCTCCCAGATCTCAGGATGGAGGTTAGGGGCTCGGGGAGGTGGTTTCACACACTTGCTGTTGCAAGGCTGTGTCTCTGTCCTCCTGCTTGTTCTCCTCTCAACTTCCTGTGAAGCTGCAGCCCCAGGCAGCACTTAGGCAGAGGCTTTACTCAGCCTCTATTTACAAAGGCTCTTGGGAGTATGCAGTGACACCAGTCACTGTCACAGTGCACCAGGCTATGTTTATAAATACGCCTGTCCACCAAGCGATAACTGGTTGAGTAAACCATGCTGGACACAGAGAATCACACAGAGCCACAGAAAAAGAATGATAAAGATCTCCATGTCTGGATGAGGAGGAATCTCTTGCAGGTACCGTTAAGTGAAAACACAAGATACAAAGCAGTGTGTAAGTTGCACTAGCTTTTTAAGAAAGGAGCAAAAGGAGAGTCTATATGTAGATATACATGTATTTTTCTTATTTTGCAAGGAAAAAAAAAGTTGCAAGGAGAGGTGTTGGAAGGATACATAACAAGCTAATAAAAAGAATTTCCCAAAGAGGAGAGGAAGTGGGGAACATGAAACATGAAACTTCTCTGTACCATAAAATGTTGCAGTTCTGATTTTTATGTAAGACATATCTATTAAGGGGCTGGGATGTAGCTCAGTAGTAGAGTGATTGCCTAGCATATAGAAGGCCCTAGGTTCAACCCCCCGCATCACTACAAAAAAAAATAATCTATTAAAATTACAAAAGATGCGTGTGATGCATGTGTGTGTGAAAGAGAAAGAGATGGGGCAGTGACTGGCATCTTTGTGTTCCTTAGTAGCACACCACCTGCTCTGAGCTGCAGAGTAGCAGCCCCAAAGCAACAGACCTGTGCATGGTTTGCACTGGTGTGTTCTGCCTAGCTTGTGGAAATTATTATTTCAGACTTCTTCTTTTTAGTTTTCTCTTTATCTATTTTGCCCATCATTGCTGTGTATTTGAAGCAGAGGACTATATGGATGTGTGAACCTGTCCTAATGGAAATCATCATTTTAACCTAAATATTGAAAAGCCTTTAAATATCTCTTTTCCTGCATTAAAAAAACAACAAAAAAACACCAGTATACTAAGAATTATTAAACATTTCCCAGTTGATAGAAAATGTTAGAAGGATATTTCTAAATCTTCTCAGAATAAAATACAATATTTCATAGAATTAAAAATATCACTGGTTATAAGTTCTTCTATTATTTTATTTACTATTAAAAATACTGCCAAATAGACTATGACAATTACCTTCTTGTACAACACATGTTGATTTCAGATATCAAAATATGAGAAAAGTGCATCTTACAGTAAATAAAATATAGGATTATAGATGCTGCTTGAAAGATTATAAGGTTGAATTAAATGTATATTGATTTTAGAATATTACAAAAATCCAAAGAAAATGTTGTGCCTAGAGCAATGCCAGGTACAGATGACTGATGCTTGTGGATAAATGGAGACTTTTACATGGCATTGGATGGTCACTATAATACAGATGGAAGAATGCAAGAAAGTCTGTTTTAAAAGAGATACTAAGCATAGACTATGTCCAGAACCTGTACTATAATATTAAAGATAAAGAGATTTTTTAAAATAATGAGGTTAGAGCCCAGTCCTTGCATGGTTTATACCCTAGTAAGAGAGATAAATGTAGCATCATCTGACAATCAGAGAAGAGATAAGACCAACGCTGCAGATTTAGGAGTCACCTTCAGAGTGAGAAGCTGACAACAAATAAGCTTGTCTGTCCCATGAACAGAGGGGCAAGAACAGGTCCCTGGAGAGTACTATGTTAGATGGGAAGAAGAGGATCCAGTGAGGAAAATCAAGAAGTGGTTAGAGAGATAAGAGGAGAGACTGGAGAGCAATCTGTCATTGAGGACAGAGGCAGAGATGTCTTTAAGAAGGAAGGAACCATCAGCATTGTCAAATTGCTGAGATGGGCCAAGATGAAGAGTGAAGATGTCATCAGATCTGGCAGCTGGGAGGTCATCAGTGACTTCCAGTAAAGTAATTTCAGGAAAATGATTGGAGCAGTTGTCAGACTGTCGTGGGTTGATGAATAAATGCAGGGAGAGTTTATCTGGAAAAAGCTTATGAGGAAGGATAGGAAGCAGCAGGAAAGGAGAGGAAGAGCAGAAATGGAATCAATAAATGCAGAGAAAAAAAGGGGCACCTCAACACCTGGAGACAAAGTGAAGGCCTGAACATGCAGGTGCAGGAGGAAGGCAGGGTCGGAGGCAGCTGGGCAGGCACCAAGACAGGGAGCAGGGAGGAAAGGCAGTCTGGCTCAATCCCTAGCTCTGTCCCTTACTGTGTGAACCTAGGTAGGCTACTTAACCTTTGCCCTTCAGATGTTAAGAGAAGAACCCTCCTATAGTAAATATGGTGCATTTCTAAGAGTTCTTCTTCTTATGATTTTAATGTAGGCTGATGACATAAGTCCAAAGCATGATTCTAGGAAAGACTCTTAGGAGGAAACAAAATTTCTAGTGCATGGCTTTATGACAGTTTGGCTTTTAAGAGTATCTAGAGGTGAAATAGCAAATGGATTTCATGCTGCATGCCAATGCTGATGAGGTGCCAATGGCTGCCTGAAGCTCTGGTTGGAAAGAGTGATGTTTGAGCAAGATTCTAGGCTCAGCCCAAGGAAGGGTTATGGATTAAAGTTGGCCAGGGGCTTTGAAGGTATAGTAGCAAGAGCAGTGTCATGCATTTGCTGACCCTGAACTAGAGGAGAAAATGGCTATGTACCTATTCAGACAGTTCTCCATAAATGTTATTGAGCTTTCTGAGGAGTAGTGAATTATAAAGATTCCCATGTACATTCTCTGAGAAGTAGAAATATTTTACATTGTCCATTAAGGATACAACACAAATTGCAGCACTTAGGTACAGTAAGTAGGTTTGACATCCTTTTATGAACGTTAAGACATGCGACCAGTACACATTCATTAATAGACAGCTTGTCTACCTGCTTAAGAACTATGGAAAGCTGGGTGCAGTGGCGCATGCCTGTAATCCCAGCAGCTCAGGAAGCTGAGACAGGAGGATTGCGAGTTCAAAGGATTGAGCCTCAGCAACAGCGAGGCACTAAATAACTCAGTGAGACCTCATCTCTAAATAAAATACAAAAAAAAAAAAATAGGGCTGGGGATGTGGCTCAGTGATTGAGTGCAGGAGTTCCATCCCTGGTATCAAAACAAACAAATAAAATGGAAATATCTGAGATATGTCCAAATCTTCCTTGGAAAAATTTCTGGGTTCACTTTACATTCACAAAAAGGAGATTGAGGTCCCAATACTTCATATCTAAAAAAATGGTCATGACCATTTTATTTTGAAAACTTGTAAAATTTACTTTCTTTAATGATGTATAGCATAAGCATCTTCAAGCAATGAAATTTCTTGGGTGAATCTTCCCATACAGAAATTTATTTTCCCTTCCCTCTCTCTCTGTCTCACATACAAATACACACACACACATTTTTAAAAACAGTGATACCAAAACATGGTAAAGCAAAGCCTTTCTGGCTGCAGAGGAGGCAGAAGGCTTTTCACGTAAGCCAACCCTGAATGCTTCATGGAACATGGCTTGAAAGCCTTTGCTGCAAAATTTAGTGGCTTCCCTAGGCCACTAAACAAATTGTTAAAGTAGAATGTTAATTTTTCTGATCAGGTGAACTGTTGAGGATGTTCATAAAAAATGGTAGTATTTGTCCCCTGAGGCAATGACAATCATTGAAATACATTTCCTGGAGTCTCTAACAAAAGCATGTGGCAGCACTGAGTGAAGTTCAGTACAAGGAGGCTACCAGTTCCAATCCCAAGCTTCTCCTGAACCTGTGAAGACCCCATCTGCTTGCTGTTCCTAACATGGTATGAAGCTGGCATCTTGAAGATAGTACTGCATACAAAAATGATGCCCAAATTTTGATCTTTGTATCTTCATTCTACACAGCAGGAAAGGGGGAAAAAAAACAAAACATAACAAATTTGCTTCTTTTAGGAGATCTCCTGGAAAACCCACCCAATAATATAATAGCCAAAAATTAACACAAGGCCATATCTAGCTGCAAGGGAGCCTTGCATGATGCCCATTGGTAAGACAGAGTGAATCGTTCACAATGATACAGGAATGTCTAGGCAGAATTGACCACCCCTCTTCATTTTGCATGTGTTATGTGTATTCACTTTATGTGTATCACAGTCAAGATGCAGAACTGTACTACCTGCCAAAACCTCTCTTGTGCCTATTCCTTACATTTACACCTTTCCCTGTCACTACCCACTGGCAACCACTGGTCTGTTTTCCTTCATTATAGTTTTGCTATTTCATTGACATCATATATGGAATCAGATTATGTAACCTTTTGAGACTGGTTTCTTTCACTCAATATAATGGCTTTGAGATTCATTTAGCTTGTTGAATACACAAACAGGTTATTCCTGTTTGTTGTTGAACAGTATCCCATGGTACAAATGTACCAGTTTTATTCATTCATCTTTGAAGGACATTTGGACTATTTCTGATTTTTGGCAATTATAAGAGTTGCTATTTGTGTGCATTTTTGTGTGAATGTTAAGTTCTCATTCATGAATACATTTTTATTTTGAGCTTACACACAGGACGTTAGTGTATTTTCTCCCCACTGTGAACTAAATACACCTCCAGATTTTGCCTGATCCATAGCAAACAGTGTAGTACCATGGTTAAGAGTACTGTTCCTTGCCTATGTTTAAATTTCCACTCTGTTATTTAATAGTGATATAACATTAACATAAAAATGGTAATTTTTAATCATATCACCTGAGGCAATGATTATCATTGAAATACATTTCCTGGAGTCTTTTTAAAATGCATGTTGCAGCACCAAGAGTTCAGTTCAGTACAAGGAGGCTACCAGTTCCAATCCCAAGTTTCTCCTCAGCCTGTGAAGACTGTTACTTGACATCTCTATCCCTCAATTCCCCCCTCCTGGAGAAGTGGGAGGAGCAGAGTTCCTGTTGACAACCCTATGCTTGCTGAGGTCAAGGCAGTGTTCCAGCATTTTCCTACCCTTACTACCTAGTAAAGTTCATGGCAGAATATAAGACGCTCCTAAAGTTTTTGTAGATTACAAGACTTCAGCAGTTTTAAAAATCCTTATATAACTGTTTAAGCTTCGTTTGTGAGCACCTAAGCAGCCCAGGAGTTTCTCTAGGCAGTTTGAAACATTTTTTTCATTAAGATAAACATGAAACATCGACGTAACTATTTTAAACACTTTTCCTCACAGAAAATTTTCCTTAAAATTCACTCCATTAAGATTTCCTTTTATGGAAATGAAATAGTAAAGACTGAAGAGCACATTCACTAGCTTCAGTGCCTTTCTGATGTCACATTAATTTACTTTTTGAATCAAAGAGGTGCAACTAAGATTAAATAGAAGCTATGGATTTAAATAAGGGCATGCGAGTTCTCGGAGGGGATTTCAGGTTCGCTGCCCTGAGGAAGGGCTCTGTACTTGTGTGGACACGGCCGCTGACCCTGAGCAGGCCCCCGGTCTGGTCTCAGGACTCCTCTGGCCTGGTTCCCAACAGCCGGCGGTCCCACCGCTTGGCTTCCGCGCTCCTGCGCGTCCCCTCGGGCTGAACCACCAGGACCAGTTTCAACCCACAGAGAGGCCGTCAGGGACAGGGCCCTGGGCTCCAGCGTCAGCAGCTGAACCCGGTGCGCGGCTGGCGGTGGCCTGGCCGTTAGGACGACCGCTCTCCCCCGAGGCCCTGCGAGTGGCGGTGGAGACCGTAGTCACCCCTGCAGGACACTTCAGGGCGGGCTTCTTACCACGAACGACTTTTCTCATTACTCTTGAGAGAGACTTGAAAAACCCAGGGAGTTTATATATAAGAAGTCATAAGGCAATCGGCCCGAGCCCGAGCCCAGGGCTACCGGCCTCGCAGTCCCGACTCCTCAGGAAGCAAGGGCTACGCCGGAGACCGCCCACTGGGCTGCCCACTACGCGAGGCGAGGCCAAGTCCACGGCTCTGGTCAGGCCGTCCCGTCGCGCCAAGGGGCAGGCGACCCGCCCGGGAGGCCGCGGGGAAGTGCGGCGGGGGCCCGGGGCCCGGGGCCCGGGGCCCGAGCGGACGCGGGAGGCGAAGCGGCCGGCAGGTGCCTCTGCCCGCGGCGGGCGCTTCCGCCTACCTGCCCGCGGGGCCGGAAGTCACCTAGCGGGCCCGCGGCCCCGGCTTTGTTAGCGCGTCAACCGCGCGGAAAGCGACCGCTGGACTTCCTGCCCACCTCTCATAGCGCCGCCGGGGAAGGCGGAGCGAGGCGGGAGAACCGTAAGAAGATACCGGCGCTCTACACTACACTCTTCCCTGGGGCCGCGCTTCAGGAGGGCGGCAAGGGAAGAAGCGCATGCGCTAGCTGCTTCTCAGGCGCGTGGAGGAAGTCACGCATGCGTAGAGCGGTCGCCAAAATATGGAGCGCCAGGGTGACTGGCAGGTTGAGTGCGCTTTAGGGGTGGTGGAGGCCGTGGCAGCCTGGACGCGCGTGCGCAGAGCGCTCGAGAGGGTGGAGCTCCGCCAGGGGGCCGGCGGCGAGTAGTGCCGGCCTCGCGCGCCCCCTGGCGCGAGCCCGGGGAGCCGCGAGCGCGGGCGGGGCGAGGCGGCGCGGACGGGGGAGGGGCGCGGAGCGAGGGAGGGCTCATCGACCGGGCGATTTTGGTTAAAATATTCAAAATGGCGGACGGAGGAGCAGCGAGTCAAGATGAGAGTTCAGCGGCGGCGGCGGCAGCAGCAGGTAATCATTACGGCATTTTACATATTCATATTCATACTCGGCCCGGCTCCCGCGGCCCCCCCGCGACTTAGCATAATTTATTAGTACTCAGGATTATTATAATTAACGGCGGGGAGCTGGGGGGCCGGAGCGCGAGCCCCCGCCGGGCGCCGAGCGGAGGGCAGCGGCGGGCGCGGTGGCGGCGGGACCGGGCAGGGGCTGCGGCCCGCGCCCTCCGCCCTCCGCCCGCCGGCCGCTCCCCACTCCCCGCGCCGGGCGGGCCGGGCCGCCCGGAGGACAATGCGGGCGGGCGCTCCCGGGGTTCGCGGGCGCGGGCGCGGGCGGCGGGGGCGTGGAGGGCGCGGGCGGCGGGCACAATGCCGCGGGCGGCGGACCGGGCGGCGGGGCCGGAGTGCCCAGCTCGGGGTCGGCGTGCGGGTTCCGGCCCGGCCCGGCCTCGGCGGGAGCGTCGCCAGGCCGCGCGGCCCGGGGACGCGGGTGGCGGGGCGCCTACGCTGCCTGGGGGGCGCGGGCCGGTGCGGGGCGCGGAGCGGGGCGCGGGCCCGGTGCGGAGGCCTCCGCGCCCGCCGCCGCCAGCCGCGCTCATTTGAATAATGTCTAATTCGGGGAGGTTTATATTATTGAAATGGCCGCCCGGCTTTCCCCGCCTCTCATGTTTAGTAATTCAGACCTTTAATAACAGCCACTCACAGCCCAACGCCGTGTTTATATTCTCCCTTCGCCCATGTGCTCGTGCGGTTCGTTATGGCTCTCGCTCCGCGGCAGCCCACGGGCTCCGAGCAGCCGGCCGCGCGGGCCTCGCGCCCGCCCGCCCCCGGCGCCCTGCGCCCGCCCGCCCCGCGGGCCTGCGGAGCCCTGGCCGCCGCCGCCTGCGCCTCACCCTCGGGGGCCGCGGGGACGGGCCCCCGCCGGGCCTCGGACTCGGCCGGGAGCGTGGACCCAGCGCCGGCCCCTGCGAGCGGGGGAGCCCGGCGCCCCCGAGGTCCCGGCGCTCAGCTCCCGGAGCCGGCGGCCGCGCTCCCGTGCCCGCCGGGCGCTGAGCCCCGCGAGGCCGACGCCCGCTCGGCGCTCGTCCCCCGCAGGTCGGCGGGCACGGAGCCGGGGAGTGCCGCGGCGGGGAGCGCGTCTGCCGCCCTGAGCGACCCCCCTCTCCGCACGCCCGCCCCGCGGCGTCAAGTTGTCAGAGAATGTCAGGTTTACGTGATTGAGGACAGTCGGCCCGGGAAGGGCAGGTCCACTTTTCCTGCTCACAGGAAACGGTGGTCGTGATTGTTGGTCTTTCCCGGGCAACGTCGTGTGTGCGTGCGTGTGTGCGTGTATGTTGTGTTGGTTCTTAAGGTGAGTGTTCAGGGAATGGTATTCAACAGCAAACCCTCCATCACAGTGGGTCATGAAGTGTGGTAGCCAGATACTTTGTGGGACAGTAGTCTTCAGTTTAACTTGTAACAAAATCTTAAGATTTGATCGACTAAAGGATTAAAAGCAAGCTAACTTAAAATAACTCGTGCTCTCCATCCCGCCCCCCCTTCCAGTAGTAGGCCCTGAATGATCAGGGGAGGAAATAACTAGTTTTCTGGAGAATATTCAGGTGAATGACCGCCTTAGAGACCTGAAGCAGGAGGTCTGATGAACAAAAACCAGTAATATGGTTTTATGCCTTAAATAGCATATGTTTTGCACCCGATTCCCAAGATGTGGTCAGACTGATGATGTCATTGGACAGAGGACAAGGTGCAGTTACTTTGATTTATTGTCCTGAGGTGAAGTGTAGCAATGAAGCCTCCTCATAGGGAAACCATTTATCTTGGAATAGTTTCCTTTATAGCTGCAATTTAACCACTACTGAGGCTGTAGATATTTTATCCAGGATGATAAAATACACATTGCATTTTACAAATTTCAGGTAACACATTAAGTTTCCTTGTTAAGATATTTCTAATGTAGAAAAAGGATGGGTGTTGTTAACTAGCCTTATACTGTGATTAGCTTTCCATGCTATAGTAAAAATTCATTTCTTCTCAAGAGAAGAGCATGGATTTTAAATAAGGATAATTATAAAAGTGATTCATATACATGCTTATTTTATATGGGTTTGTTGTGCTTCCTCAAATTTTTATAAGAAGCTGTGTTTCTTAATCAGAGTAATGTCCAGATTTATGGAGGTGCCATTTATTTTAGAGCCTATTTGAATGCATTGAGCTGAATTCAAGAGAATGAGAGCAGTATATTGTTTTAGGTTGAAGTTAGTGTTTAAAATAAGGTGGACTACCTACAGGAAAGTAGGTGCTTTAAAATTTTTAAAAACGTAATTAGAATTATTTTTGAATTTCTGTTAATTAGTCTGGATAAATTTGGGCCTTTTGTTTTGATTGATGACTTTTTAAATAGTTCTATTGCAAGGTAATGGTTCCACTTTATGATTTTTGATGTATTAGTAGATTCTCAGGCATTTTTCATCATGTTTTTAACTGGTGTGTCTTATGGTAATGACTAAAACTGCTGTGGGAATGTGATCAAATTGCTGTGCTTTATTCCTCACCCTGCTTGTGGGCCAAGTGTGGTAGGGTATTTTGGTTGCTGGTGAACACTTCCGAGCTCCTGCATGGCTGCCTGTCTTCTTTTACAGGCATCTAGAGTGCGGCTCACCAGAAAGCCCACCCATGATTCTTTGTCAGCTTGCCCCCCTTGTTAATTGTAATGGTGCAAATCTTGAGCATTTGTATGACAGCTGATCAAATGTAGTTAATTTCTAAAGAACTGTTCTGCTTCCAAGCTATTAAAAGTACTTTTTAACCTCTTTCCCCAAAATAACTTTTAAAATTTCTTTCATTTTTGTCATAGTCAAAAACACCAGTTGTCAGGGAAAACACAAACTGTGGCTGTTACTTAGGTGTAAATGATGTTGCGTTCAGTCACAGTTTTAATTTGTTATTCTCTGCATCAGTGTATAGCAAAGAGCAGAAGAAGTAAAATGTACTCATTACTGCCTAGGTTGAAGTAATTGTTAATATGTCACTCATCTGGTTAGTGGCTTTGGGAATAATTTCAGGGTTCAGAGTGTCAAATTACTCTCATCAAGCCTCCAAAGATATTTAAGAGAACCTTGAATATCTTGGGTTGGTAGTTCTAAAATGATAAAACTAGATTTTTAAAATTTTTTAAATAAGTTTTTTGTTGTTAAAAAAAGAAGTAGTTGAAATGTTTCTTGAATCTGTATTGCTTGATTTTGAATCTAGTTGTGTGTGTTTTAAAATTGACCACTCACTTTCATGAAGAGTTGTTTTTATAGTTGGAAGACTATAGATGTGATATGGCGATCACCTTACTAGTTTTTTTTTGTTTTTATATTGAAAACCAACAGCCCTACGTTTTGCATTTTAGTCTTCTTTTAAGCACTACTAAAAATAATGGTGTGCAACTGCCGTAACTTGCGTTTACACATCAGTGCTGGTTCAAGTGACATGGTTTTGTTGATAAGTAAAAAGATGTGTTTCTCCTAAAGGAGGTGCTGCTTTTAGAATTATTCAGATAATTATTGTTTATAGAACAAAACAGGTCATGGACAAAACCTGCCCCTTCCTGGTCACCATGTTCTTGTTTTCCATATCTTCTTCAATGCCAAATGCTTGAGCAGGCATTTATTCCTTCAAGGAAATCTAATCTTAGGGTTAGTGTTAAAAGTTGTGGATTTCATTCAGTAACACATCTACTTTGAGTTTTTGTATCCTTTGTGAATGGATCTTTCCCTTTTTGGGGGGGAGACCCTTTGGGCCAGAATTTTGCTTAATTTTTGTCTTTGTTATGTTGCCTAAATAGTATAAATGTCTTTGGAGGTGGTTAAAAGAGTTGATAATTAAAGTTCACAAAGAATAGTAGATTCCTTATATTTTTTTTTTTGAGAATAGAAATATGCTGTTTATTATTCATCTGAGATATCAGGTGCACTTTTAAAAATTTAAACTCTCTATACATCTCAATAGCATCTTACCAATTTGGTGGCAGCAAAAGAAACACTACCAAAGACAAATATTTTGAAAAACATTTACAAAAATACATTGCACAAAGTCCTATCTGCATCTTTAAAAATAAATTAATATTCAAATGTCTCCTCCCCAACTCCCAAATTTAGCTTTATATAGGAAATTTGATTTATGTATATAACCTATAATATAGGAAACATCTGTACACATTTCACCCAACCGAGCTGCACAGGAGTAGTTTCCTTATATATCTCTTGCTGAATGTTTTTGCACATTGTTGTTATAATCTTTATGAATAAAGATGACTGAGTAACTGAAGTTTTAAATTGATTTTATTTTGTGCTGAAGTATTTCTGTGTTCTAGACTGATAATGAGCTCTTATACACTCTAGATCAGTAATAGCAA